ACATGTCGAGAATCGCTGCACGTACACGATATATACTTGTCGAGAATCGCTGCACGTACACGATATATACTTGTCGAGAATCACTACACATACACGATATACACATGTCTATAATCACTGCACGTACACGATATATACATGTCGAGAATCACTACATATACACGATATATACTTGTCGAGAATCACTGCACGTACACGATATATACATGTCGAGAATCGCTGCACGTACACAATATATACTTGTCGAGAATCACTGCACATACACTATAGATACTTGTCGAGAATCACTGCACGTACACGATATATACTTGTCGAGAATCACTACATATACACGATATTCACATGTCGAGAATCACTACATATACACGATATATACTTGTTGAGAGTCACTATATGTACAAGATGTATATTTTTTGATAGTTGTTCTATGTACACAATGTATCATTTTTTAGACTAATTTTTACACCTAGAGTTACATGCACACGCTGAACACTAAACAGTTACTGTATATACAAAGTAAATCTGTACTAGAGATTATATGCACACGGTGAACACTTGAAAGTTACTGTATCTACACAGTAAAACTGGAATAGAGTTATACGCACGCAGTTTTAATAGTTGTCGATATACGTGTATGAAAGTAAACACCTGATGAAATGTAACTGTGTTACACACTAAACTCAAGAGATACTGTATGTAAATTACGCATATTCAATAACAGTAACGGTGTGAAATGTATATATGATTTTTAAAATCAATTTTTGTTTTTACAGTTATTTCACACTTTATTTCTAAACAATATATATATATGATGTTAAACAAGCCCGATGTCTGTAGGTTTACTTTCTTCTTAGGATTCTTCTCAAGAAGTCGACAAGCCTTATCGACTTCTTGAGAAGAATTCTAAGAAGAAAGTAAACCTACAGACATCGGTCTTATTTAACAAAATCTGCCTACAAGAAAATCTGTCACCAAAGTACACCAATATATATATATATATTATTATTATTATTAATACAGCAAAAAAGATTTAACATGCTGGCATTCACACTGGAGCTCAAATTTACTTAATAATAAACATTGGATTGTGCAGAAACTATATAATGTTTTTGTTAGATACTTACTGAAATTTAAATACAAACCATAGATAATAGCATCAGCTACACGTATTGTCTATTGGTATATCTAGATAATGGTGTAAACTACACATAATTAGCCACAGATCTAAAAGACTTTTTTTCGTGTTTATCTATCGGGTTCTAATTACACGTTGTGTTATTATAGTTGATTTTCAATTAAAGCCTTTTGTCTCTATCTACGTATGTATGATGACTGAGTGTGTTTTGATCATAGCTCAAACAACTGTAGTTTGTTTAGTCTTATTTGTCATTTTTTACAAGAGAAGTTATATATTTATTAAAGGGAAAGGATCCAAAAGATACGAAACATTAATATCAGCGAAATTTAAATGGTTTAATGATAATGTTAAAAATGTAACAACACAGAAACGGGATTGAAAAATCACACACATTACAACTTAACTGGCTGGGTGTGGCTCAGTGGTTAACGTGCCAGATTGGTAATAATTCGTTTCCGGTTGTTGCAAAACAAGAATCACACTCCACATTTTGAGGTCGAATGTACGTTATAAGAGTAACAGGCAGTACTATTATTCCGTTACAGAGTAGCTCAAGAGTTGACGGTAGCTGCTGTTTTTTTTTTGCCAGTCAATTCTTCAAAATTAAGGACGGCTAATGCAGTGATTCCTTGAGTAGCTGTGCGCGAATATCCAAACCAAACCATACCCCAACTCGCACGAGAACCCATGAAACATAATGTAGAGTAATAGGTACAATTCTCTCCAGAAAACTAAACAATTCCTATACCGTTGTTTTAGGAGTTTCAATATACATTTTCTAGCGAGTGTGATCTTTTTATGGTATTTTATTTTATCTTGGATCGCACGTGAAATGCAGCTCTTGTGACTGAGTAACATAATTGGTAGACAATGTTAACGTATACAGATTTCGATTTACGAGAGACGAGCCATCTTCTTCTGCGTTACGTTTTCTATCGAAACAAATACCAAATAAACAAGCAAAGACGAAAATCAATTGTTTGGCTGCTTTTTAGCCTCACGTGTAAACTTGTAAACTAGCCTTTGGAACACGCATAGAAAGCAGTCGATTTGCAGCCGTACTGTCGCCACTAGTTACAGAAATAGTAAAATGGACGATAAATTATACAGTTAAAACATAAAGATGTTTGGGCTGTATTAAAAATATTTGTATGTATAATGAGAATCACCTTTAGTATAAAAACGAACACAAGAAAAATCTTAGTTTAAATAAATATATATATATATAGTAAAATGTTATGTTTTTGAAAAAGAGCATAAAATTTGGTTAACTTTTTTTATGTGCTAATATACTGATCAACGGAGAATAGCAGTGGAGCTCAGCGAGCATTTGTAACGACACCAAACCAAGAACAGAAAGTTTCTAGTCCTGAAGTTTCCAGTCTAGTTTTCAATATTGTATTCAACAGTGAATACGATATAAATATTCTACGCCATAGCCAATATCATATCAATATTGTGTTTCACAGTCAATAACATATCAGTATTCTACTCCATAGTCAGTACGGTATGAATGTTTTACTCCACAGTCCATACAACATTAACGTTATACTTCACAGTCAGTACAAAGTCAGTATTCAACTCAATAGTCAGTACAATGTCAATATTCAACTCCACAATCAGATCAATATCAAAATTCTACTGCATAGACAATACATTGTTAATGTTCTACTCAACAATCAATGCAGTATAAATATTCTATTCCACAGTCAATACGATATCAATATTCTACTCACAGTCAATACGATATCAATATTCTACTCACAGCCAATACAATATCAATATTCTACTCCACAGTCAATACGATATCAATATTCTACTCACAGTCAATACGATATCAATATTCTACTCACAGCCAATACAATATCAATATTCTACTCCACAGTCAATACGATATCAATATTCTACTCACAGTCAATACAATATCAATATTCT